TACCTATCCAAGTATAAAATGTCCATACCCTGTGATTCTGCAATTCTATTGCAAAAAGTTTTCTTACAGAAATGCTTAAATCTACCACTATATATCTTTATCTGCAACTATATTGATATAGTTATGGATGTATCAATACAGGACGTTCACTGCAGCATTGTTATAGCAGAAAATTGGAAATCTCCATATACTGATATGGAATGCTATCAATGATGAATCATTCATTAAAATTTAATGTACAGTATATTTTGATATGTGATGCAATCTATTTTGTATAAATTTTTATTATTAAAATGCCTTTATCAATATACAAATTCTATGTTTCTAAATAAAAATGCAGATCTGGAAGGATAAATGACTTTTAGCTAATTGCACAGCTAAAAAGTGTTCCAGAACTCAAAATTAGAACCTAGTCTATGTAACTCTAAAACCTTTGTTTTCCGTTCTACCCTGAACAATGTCTCTTATGCCCACCTCTGGGCCTTTGCCCATGCTTTCCCCCCTGCTGTGAGTACCCTTTGTCAAGCTTTAAAACTTAAATAATTTATTTTTCTTTCATTTCTTCAGCTCTCAAAGATTTGTTTCTCATTATTTTAAATTTACTAGGCCTGCCCCTTATTTAAGGAAATCTGACACTTCTTTTATATTCCTCAAATTTGCAGAATCTGCTGAGTTTTTAGAATACTTGTTGTCTGCTTAAGTAATTAAGAAATAATAGGGAAGTGGACTGACAAAGAAGAAGAAAAGGTTAACTAATATTGCCCCTTTCTTCATTTGAGCAACCTTTTGAAAAATGTTCCTCATTAAGCCATTGTGGAAAGAGAAAGGAAATATCACAAAAGCAGCTAATGGCTATGATTTAGCGCTCAATTGGAAGTTCGGGTCATGGTTTGGTTCTTGATTATGGCTGAAGCAAGTCTAGGAAAACAAATGTTTACAGGCTACAGCCGATAACTGTCATCATTAAGTCTGGTTGACAGAGGAACAGTAGCCAGCTTCTGTCAACAAATCCACTCTCAAATCTGGAGAAAGGGCTGACGCCAGCATTCTCTATTCAGTTCACAGTTCTTTGCCATTTCCTTTTGTTCCATAAAATGTCTTGAATTGCGTTGGTGCCCATTGCATCGTTAGCAACTTATTAGGAACTTTGAGAAATGTGAAGTCCCTGGGTGGTACAAATAGTTAAAGTGTTCGACTGCTAACCCAAAGGTTGGCAGTTTGAGTCCACCCAGAGGCACCTCAGAAGAAAGCCTGGCAATCTACTTCTGAAAAGTCAGCCATTGAAAACCCTATGGCTCACAGTTCTACTCTGACATGCATGGGGTCACCATGAGTTGGAATCTACTCCATGGAACTGGTCTAGACTTTGATTGGCAAGTAACTGGCATCATGCTGAGAACATTATGAATTTCCTCTAATGAGAATCACTCTGTCAGAGATATGTGGGAAATAAAACTGCCCATCCTCCACTGGAATCTAGAGGTATCTTTTAAAAACATAAGTCTGATTTATGATTTAGGATATTTACAATTTAGAAATTATGATACTCTTTTGTTTTATACCCTCCCTTGGTTTTCCATTGCCTTTTGAAATTCCTTGCCTTGTCCTAGAATTCCCTGATTAATCTGGTTACTACCTCTACGTTTCCAAACACAGCTTGAGCCAAATAAATGAAACCAAATAGTTGCTAATTATAAATCTTATGTTGCTGTTTCAGATTTTCCAACTCTCATCCAGAGTGCATATCAGTACCTGGTAAATGGGATGCCAAAACAATGTGACTGAATTCTTTCTTCTGGGTCTTACGAAGAACCCAGACCTGCAGCAAATATTCTCTGCTGTGTTTCTAATCATGTATGTGGCCACCATGTTGGGAAACCTACTCATTGTGGTAATTATGACTGCAAGTCGGAGTCTGAGGTCACCTATGTATTTTTTCCTTACTTCCTTGTCCCTCATGGACGCCATCTTTTCTTTCATAATCGCCCCCAAGATGATTGTGGATTCCCTCTCTGAGAGCACTACCATCTCCCTCCAAGGTTGCATGACCCAGCTTTTTGCAGAACATTTCTTTGGTGGGGTGCCCATCATCCTCACCGTCATGGCCTACGACCTCTACGTGGCCATCTGTAAGCCTCTACACTACACGACCATCATGAGTCCTTGAGTGTGCTGCCTGCTGCTTGGAGGGGCCTGGGTGGGAGGATTTTTACATGCAATGACACAGCTTCTCTTCATGTACCAAATACCTTTCTGTGGTCCCAATGTTATCGATCACTTTATGTGTGATTTGTTTCCATTGCTGACACTGACGTGCATGGACACCCACGTCTTGGGCCTTTTGGTCATCCTCAACAGTGGGGTGATGTGTGTGACCATCTTCCTTATTCTCATTGTCTCCTACGTGGTCATCCTCTGCTCCCTGAAGTCTTGCAGCTCTGAAGGGTGGCGCGAAGCCCTCTCCACCTGTGGCTCCCACCTTACAGTGATTGTCTTGTTCTTTGTGCCATGCATTTTCTTGTATGGAAGACCTGTGGCCACTTATCCCATAGATAAGGCAATGGCTGTGTTGGAGCATCACACCCATATTAAATCCCTTTATCTACACCCTGAGGAATGCAGAGGTGAAAAATGCCGTGAAGAAACTTTGGATGCAGTGAGAGACTTTAGTAGGCAAGTAACTGTCATCATGCTGAGAACATTATG